TTCATGTCTTTATTTTGACAGCAGCATTAGGCTGGTCCTCCTCCTCTGTTTTCTGAAAGTATGTGTAAGATTGGTGTTATTTCTTCTCTGTTTATTTGGTAGAATTCACCCATACGTTACCCTACACCTGGCATTTCCTTGTAGGCGGGCTTTTAGTCGTGAATTCACGTTTTCTACTTTCTTTGTCAGTGTTTGTAACTTGTGTTTGTGAGAGCGCTTGTCTGTCTCATCTACGTTTTCAGCTGGCATTACATTGTTCATTGTGGTCCCTCGTTACCTTTTGATGCTGGTGGGCTCTGTGCTAATGTCCCCTTTCGTTTCTGATATTGCAGGTTATAACCCTTCCCCATCGTCTCCACTCTTTTGTTTAGTCTAGCTGGGATATTTATCAATTTTCTTGAAAACCTCCATTCTGTTGACCTCCCTTAGGGTATTGTGTTTTGTTCTGGAAGGCAGTTAATTTGCTGTTGGTTCTGTAGATCCTTTTGAGGCCTGTTTTCAAGCTCTGTTAGGGCATGTCTAGAGAAACACTTATTCTGGCCTCCTGTAGCCCTGCCCTCATGGGGTGGCCTTTGTGGTGACTCTGTTGAAAGCCCAAAGTCTTTCTGGTCTGGGTGCCGGGACCCTCTGCCTCCTGCTGCGCGGAACGTCCACGAGCACCTTCATTCAGCTCATGCTCCCTGGAGCGTGGCCCCACACGCCCTCAGCTGGGGACTTGGCTGATTGGATCCCTGTTCATGTTTCCAGAGCCCCTTCCTGTGCGGCTCCGTCCCAGCTGGTTCCCGCACCTCAGTCCCGGGCTGCGTGTCGCCCGTCCTCTGAGGCCGGTCGCTGTGTGCATCCTACACAGTTTTGCATTTGTTGATGATGGGGGTCGAGTCCAGTGTCAGCTCCTCCATTATGGGCAGAAGTGGAGCTCTCTTTATTCCTCTTTTACTTAAAAAAAAAAAAAAAAAATCCTTCCTTTCCATCTTGTACTTCTACATTGTGTTGGTTTGTGTGTTCTTCCTAGTTAGCCTCATTTCAGAAATGGTTTATCCTCCTATTTCTGATTCTTATTTTGCGTTCTTTTGCTTCTTTTTTCAAATCTTTACTTAAGTCGCCTTGTTTTCTTACGTCACTAAGTTATTGGGTTACTGTTTTCATCTCTTTTGTGTGTGTCTTTCTGGAGTGTTTTACTTGTTAGTGTGGGTGTTGCTCTCTTTATTCTTTTTTATCTTCACTGGACTCAACCATGAAACTTTTTCCTGCTCACTTTCAGGTGAACCGAGTTTCCTGAGTCTCTGGGAGGGTTCTGGGCCGTTCTGGGCTGGGCCGTTTGCACCCTCATGGCTCTTGTGCGCCCTCTTCTGTCGCTTTCTTTCAGGTGTCTGAGGGTTAGAGGGGAGGTAGCGGACAAGCAGCGGGGAGGCCGGAGTGATCATCAGGAGGAGTTTGTGCTTAGCTGAATGTGGATACAGGTGTTTGCACGTAGATGTGTGTAGATACGCACGTCTCTGTGCTGTCAGCTGTGGGGCCGAGAAGCTGTGACACCCCAGCAGCCACAAGTACACCCAGCACCCAGATCTCAGCTTCTGATATTCTCCAGAAAAGGACCCAGGGCTCCCTGGAGAAGCAGCTGATCTTGGCGCGTGGGCAGGGAGTGTACAGAATGAGCCTGGAGGGTCCTGTCATGCCAGAAAGTGAGGAGGTGCCCAGACATACACCTGCAAGGCTGGGGGCAGGTCAGCCGGATCTGGGAGCCAGCTGGAGGAGCTCCCCGGCCAAAGCTGGACCAATTAGATTAACAAAATAAAGTAGTATTGCATTGTTACTCAAAGTATAATGTAAGTAACTGTGATTCCATAGTGATACAAATAAGAGATTGAATAAATTAACAAATGGAGGAGAAGAGCAGATCTCTCGTGCAGAAGAATTCCAAATTATGTAGATACGCTGTCGCCAAGGAGGTGGGTCATAGCTCCACACCCCTCATGTGTGGGCTGTGCAAAGTAACTTCCCTCCAGAGAGCAAGCAAGGACAG